CCGGAGGTCCCCCCCAGCGGGGCTGTGAAAGCCACGGACCGTTTGGTGCCACTGCCCAGCACTTCCTTTTGCAGGGCTGCTTCTAGTAGCCTGTGGCTTTGCCAGATGTTAAACATTGCAGCTGGGGCTTCCTCTGCTGGGGGGTTCAGAAATATCCAAGAAGGAGGCAGATGGGAAAAAAAAAAAAAATCTGTTATTTTGCCTCCAAGTATTCTGGCGCGTTTTGCTTTGCAAAACCTCAGCTTTCATCCCAGCCCTGGCCTGCCCTGCAATCTCGGGCTTTCCCAAGGGGATCCCCAGCTGCATTTGTCCTCTGGAGAGTCACAGACTGCGCATTCGCAGCAGGGCATGACGTGGCTGCAAACCCTGGGGATCCTCCTGCCCCAGCCTGTGCCCAGGCGAGTGACACAAACACGTGGCGGGGTGTCTGGCAGGAGGCCCTGAGCAATGCTTCAGGAGCCCAGCGAAACCCCCAGGGGAGATGATATGAGCTGGGGAGATAATATGAGCTGGTGAGACCCTGAAAGCTGTAAGCCATTGCTCTGTCTGCTACCTACTTCCTTTTGGGACTCAAGCCACACTTTCAGGGAGAGCCACGGGCACACAAGGTGGGGGGACAGTTGAAGTCCCCATCCCTGCAAGCAACATCAGAAGAAACAGCCCACCTAGCACCAGCAATCCTGCTGGGGCCAGGGGCGAGGAGGTGGTGGTCGCAGAGCCAAGACTGCAAGTGATGTTGCTTTGTGTTGCACTGCAGGAAGGATGAAACCACGGGTTATTACCCCTCCATGTACCTGCAGAAAGCCGGGGAGGTGAACACCTCTGTGAAGAGCGAGCTGAGGAACCGGAGCGCTCCTCCACGAAGGTAGGGGAAGCCCCGGGTGGGGTCGAGGAGGACTAAAGCTCTTCTTTGAAGGGGGTAGAATGAAACCAGACAGTGGTTTGTGGTGTCCCTTGCTCGCCCTGGCAATGAGGAACTGCCCAGGAGAGATGTGAGCAGGGCAAAGACAGGCCGGGAGGCAGATCCTGCAGGGCTGCAGCAAAAATAGCTCTGGGCTCCCCGACTTCCACAGGCGGGGAGGCACCCCAGCATTTCTGACGCAGGGCTGCACGGTCCTTGCTCCAGCAGGTCCTCCAGCCAGGCATATTTCTCCTTGTCCTTCTGCAAAGTTTCTTTTCTGGGCTAATCTCATTTAATTTTCAAATTGGCCTTTTTCTTATTTCCTAAGTGCATCCACTGAATCTTTGAGAAGCGAGGAGAGATTTGACTAATCAGAGCTGCCAAATGGCCTAATCTGATGGGAGGATTTGAGCTAATGGAAGGGATTTTATTTTGATTAAAAAGATAAAAAGCAATAATAACTCATTAATTCTGATGCAAAGAAAACCGCTAGGAAGGGCAGAGCTTGCCGCTATCTTTTCTTCCCTACAATAAAACACGGCAGCCTTGCTAGAAAATCTCTCAAAATCCAGCTCTGCTGGAGCACAGATGGAGTGTGAGACAGTGTAAAATGGCCCAAATCCACCTAATTGAGCGCAGTGATGCCTACTGATACCCTTGGGGGACATGAGGTGGCCTGTTTCAAGGACAGTGACTTGCCCCACCATGGTGAATGCTGTCCCTAGGCTGAGCCCTGTTGCAAAGGTGGTGATCTGCGGTTGTGGACAAGAGCTTTGCTTTGAGATGGATACGTGCTCAAACCAGGGAGAGCCTGAAGGCAGATGGGCACAGCAAGAGGCCATTGCCTTGAGCAGGAGGACAATGCCATGGGACGGATGTCAGGAGCCACATCGCTCATGCCCTGGTAGTGAAGACGAAGCGGTGGCCTCCGTCTGCCTGCCTGGGGATGGTCCCCGATGCTGGGGATTCACCTGCGGCAGCATGCCGCTGCACAGCCCCAGGCTGCTCAGCCTTTCACTTCTCTTAGTAGTTTCTCTGCTGTGGGTTCAACACCACACATCCACCGCGCTGACGCGTACCCCACACTCTGTTCCCCTGGCCCAAGGACTGATCCATGGGCGTTGGGGAGCCATGCCAAACACCACACCAGGGATCTCAATGTTGCAGCCAGTATGGATGCTGCATGTCCATCCGTCCAAGAGCTATAGATCACTTCCAGGGCTTTCTTGAACTCTGTTGGATAAACCTCTTGCCCATCTTGTCCTTCCAGCCTTACACCCAATCTACCTCGCCATCCCCGTCATTACTTTCCAGGCTTGTGCTCAGGCTTCACCCTTCAGTATTTGCTTCCAAAGCACCGCTCCAGCTGCCTCCTAACATGCTGTACATCACGTCTCACCTGCGGCTGCCCTCGAGGGCTGGCATCCACCTGCTGCCTTCCACTGGGCAAAACTGCAAAGCAGATATAGGGGTTTGGGTGAGGCAGAGGAGGAAGCGCGGGGGCTGGCTGCAGCAGATCTGTGAGAAGCAGGGCCGGGGAAATCCTCGGCGAGAAAGTGCAAGGCGTGAGAGCTGCCGGCACGGAAACTGAAAGTTTTGTTTCTGACTCACTGCAGATCCACCATCCGAAACGCGAAGAGCATCCACAAGCAGACCCGGAAGCAGATCAGCCAGGAGACCTACAGGAGGAACAGCAAGAAGTACATCCAGAGCCAGAGGAACCTGAAGAAAAATTTCCAGAACAAGGCCAATGTCATCAGTAAGTCTCAGCAGGGCCTTTGCCCTGGACACGGGCTGAAGTCCTGCAGGCACAGCCCGTGCCCTCCAGCGCTGGTTGCTGGAGTAGGACAGCACATGGAGGTCACAACTTGCCTGTCCACCCTTCTCCTATGGGGAAAGCATGTGCAGGGAGATGTTTCTTTTCAACGAGGTGTCTTACCTCTGGTTATAGGTCTGACAGAGAAGGAGCAGAATATGGTCCTGGTGGGAGGTCAGCCCACATTTAGGACCTGTGCTTTCCTCCGTGCACCTAACCTCACCTGTGCTGCTGTTACTATTATCATGTACGTTAGCTGTCAGCAAAGCACCTAAGAGGGAGGTGGTGCATAAAGGAGGAGGCTGCTATCGAGGTACACGCTTTAGATCTGGTAATCCCCATGCGGGATCCATGACCTTCCCAAGGGAGAGCCGCTCCGTGCACGGACCTAGAGCTGGGCTCCCACCTGAGCAGAGTTCCCAGCCAGGAACTGGTGGGCTTATGCCACCACCCCGACCTCCAGGAAGACCATCACATGCGGCTGAGACAGGAGGAGAGGCAGGAGGTTTGGTGGCCATTACATAGGAAGCTTTTGAACGTTCACATGAAGGTGTTGGGTGGTGGAGAGCACTGACCCATCTGTACGTCTGCTTTACCCGCAGTTGAGAAAAACGAGCAAGAGGAGAACAAGCCCAAGGCTCAACCTGCTGTTCCTCCCCGTCCCAGCAAAGACCTCATCCTGAACCGCTGTACCGAGAGCACCCGGAGAAAGATCCTGTGAAGCCTCAGCCCACCCCACCAGCCAGCCGATGCTTTATCTCCACCAGCTCCTGCGCAGCCGGGGCTCAGAGCCAGACCGGGGGATCCAGGTGGCTGGGGCAGCCGCCGCAGGTCCCGGGGGGCTGCCGGCCAGATTGGCACAGCCCAGCACCCATCTTCATCCGCCAGCACGGCGAGCCCAAGGTGTCCTAATGACACCGTGACCTCCACAGCCACTGGAGACCCCTCGCCACTAGACCCCCTTTTAACCCCTATTTGTATTTTGAATGATTTTGCGTTTTTCACCAATAAAGGAGAGACACTTTATAGATGTATCAATGTCCGCCGCCGGGGGCGCCCCCCCCCCCCCCAGCCACTGGAGACCCCTCGCCACTAGACCCCCTTTTAACCCCTATTTGTATTTTGAATGATTTTGCGTTTTTCACCAATAAAGGAGAGACACTTTATAGATGTATTTCAATGTCCACCTGGGCGGCTGGTCAATGCAGCCAGCGGGGAGCAGCATGGCGGCCGGCAGCATGGCGGCAGGAAGGGCGTTTCTCCCCTGCGCATCCGGCGGGGGATTGGGCAAGGATCTCTTGCGAAAGATGCCGGCGGGGAGGAAATTTGGTTGGGGGGGATGAAAAGAGGACAGTTTCCTCCGTGAAGGCGGCTGTGCCAATCCCTCTAGTGGAAAGCGAGGGCCGGGATGTGGGGATATGGCGTTTGCTGCGGTGGGATAGGAGCCATGAGGCAAGGTGGCCGCCCCAAACGGCGGCAGGGTGTGAGGGGCGCGGGGCGGGCGGCCCAGGGCCCATGGGGCTGCCAGGGTGTGAGGGGTGAGCGGCTTCCGAAGGCTGCGGAGGCTGGTCCCTCCTGCCGCCTCGCGGAGGGCCATCGTGTCGGGAGGCTGGTGACCGTCACAGCACGGCCAGCACCTCCGGGACAGGGCTGCTTCGCAACGGGGAGCGTGGTGTGAGGGCTATGTTTGGGTGCCACCACAGCCAGCCCTGCCACCGCCATGCCAGGCGGGTTTGGGTTCGGGTTTGGGACTAGGTCTGGGTCTAGGTCTAGGTTTGGGCCTGGGTTTGCGTATGGGTCTGGGTCTAGCTCTGGGTCTGGTTTTGGATTTGGATCTGGGTTTGGGTCTGGGTCTGGGCCTGGGTCTAGGTTTAGATTTGGGTCTGGGTTTGGATCTGGGTCTGGCCCTGGGTCTGGGGCTCAGTTTGGGTCTGGTTTTGGATTTGGATCTGGGTTTGGGTCTGGCCCTGGGACTAGGTCTGGGTCTGGGTCCGGGTTTGGGTCTAGTCCTGGGTCTAGGACTAGGTTTGGGTCTGGTTTTGGATTTGGATCTGGGTTTGGGTCTGGCCCTGGGACTAGGTCTGGGTCTGGGTCCGGGTTTGGGGCTAGTGCCGGGTGCAG